GGCAGGCCTCACATTTCTTTCTTTTTTTTTTTTTTTTTAAAGATTTTATTTATTTATTTGACACAGAGAGACACAGCGAGAGAGGGAACACAAGCAGGGGGAGTGGGAGAGGGAGAAGGAGGCTCCCCGCAGAGCAGGGAGCCCAATGCGGGACTCGATCCCAGGACCCTGGGATCATGACCTGAGCTGAAGGCAGTCGCTTAACCAACTGAGCCACCCAGGCGCCCCCAGGCCTCACATTTCTTACTGGAAAATCCTGTCTTGGTGGGTTCAATTATTTGTGCTAATGGATCAAGCAGACCCCCGAGTATGTGAGCTGGGGCCTCCGTGTGTCCTCCAGGTCCCCACCTCAGCATGGGGGAAATCCACAGCACACAGCGAGCCCTCAGAAGGCTAGGCTAAGCCCTGGGTTGTCCCCAGCTGGGCACTCAGCAGACCTGAGTAGGGTCCGGAGCTTCTGAACCAAGTAGGGAAAGTAGAGAAGGTTCGGGAAGATGTGGCAGCACCACGTGGTGGGGCTGGCCCAAGGTGGGTGTTCGGAGGGCTATCAAGTCCTGCGTCCCATTCACAAACCGTGTGCCTCAGGCTCCAGGGCTGCCCCTGGAGGGCCAGACTCCACGGATAACGGACCCTGGTCACTTTCTCCTGAGTAAACCTCTGCCCGGACTTCTCACAGTAAGGGAGAGTCCAAATTCTTTGCTAGGACTTACAAAGCCTGCAACCACCTGGCCCTGCCCTCTGACCCCTGGCTTTGTCAGGTTCAGCCACTCTGGGCCTCTTTCTGTTTCTCAGCCTTCGCATGGCTCAGGGTTCCTCCTTCAGGCTCAGATGTCACAGCCATGGAGTGGCCTTCCCTGACCACCTGACTTAGCGTCAGGTTGGTCTGCCCTGTGCGCTCCAGCCAGTGCCCTTCCTCGCCCTGTGCTCGCCGGAACGCCGAGCCGGGCATTGTGCAGGCTCTGAAGGTAAAGGGCCCTCTTAGCAGGAGCCTTGTGACTTTGGGCACTTAAGCGCTCTGCGCCTCAGTTTCCCTTATCTGTCTAGTAGAAGTAATGATAGCCCCTACCTCACAGGATTTTTGAATTTAGAACAATATCTGACACAAATAAATGTTTTTGGCTATGTTGTCACTTTTTCTAAAATTACCTAATTCACCTTCCTGTGTATTTTTTTTTTTTTTAATTGTTTGTCTCCTCTAGTCCAGTCCCTGGACTTTTAGGGCAGGATTCCTCCAGATACTCCTGTTTCCTCTGTATCAGCAGGACCTAGAATGTGTCCAAGTGGTACTGGGTGTTTTCCGAATATTGGTTGGATGAAAGAATGAACGGAGTCTGGAAGGAGCCCTTTCTTACCTTCTTCTCCAGGTTCTTGGGAATTGCAACCACATCAGGACAAACTCTGTTGGACCTCCGTTCAAGTTCGGGCCCCACTACTTTCCAGCTGTGTGGCCTTGAGTGAGTCACATCCCCCGTCTAAACCCCAGCTTCCTCAAGCATGATATGAGAACAATAAAAAGGTCCCAAGCCTCAGACAGTGGTTGTGAGGATTCAGCTAAAGTATGTTTGTAAAATTCTTAATAATTCTTTTCTCCTCCTGAGTAGCTTTTTCTGTCACCTGAATTTGATAAGCAGATTTTCTCATTCTTTTTTTTTTTAAGATTTTATTTTATTTATTTGACAGAGAGAGACCACAAGCAGGGAGAGCGGCAGGCAGAGGGAGAGGGAGAAGCAGGCTCCCCACTGAACAGGGAGCCCGATGCGGGGCTCGATCCTGGGACCCTGGGATCATGACCTGGGCCAAAGGCAGACGCTTAAAAGCAGAGCCCGTGAACAATCCAGGTGGATACTGTCACTGATTCCAGCGCATCTGACATGAGAGACTCTTGGAAATACGTGTTTAAAATAAACCTCCTTTCTGCTGGCCACTTCCTCTGACCTCTGAAGCTCTTATGTCCATGAGAGAGAAAGATATGAACTTGACATGATCTTTTCTCCGGAGAAGCACATTCCTTCTAGACTTTTTCCAAACCCTTCTCCATGTTTCGGGAGAGAATGTGGCTGGCTTATAGAGAAAGGAGAAGGAAAGCAATGCAGTAGACCCTTGAACAACGCATTGAACTGCCCAGGTCCACTAATATCAGATTTCTTTTTCATAAATACAGCGCAGTACTGTAAATGTATTTTCTCTTCCTTATGATTTTCTTAAGATTTTATTTATTTAGTATTTGAAAGAGAGAGAGAAAGTGAGCGCACAGGGGGAGGAGCAGAGGGAGAGAAACAAGCAGACTCCGTGCCGAGCGCAGAGTCCGGCGCGGGGCTTGATCCCACAACCCTGAGATCATGACCTGAGCTGAAACCAAGAGTAGGATGCTTTACCGAGTTACCCAGGCGCGCCCCGCCCCTTTCGCCACCTTATGATTTCCTTAATAACATTTTCCTTTCTCTAGCTTACTTTATAGCAGGAATAGACTATACAATATATAGAACTTACAAAATACGTGTTAATAGACTGTTTATGTTACTGGTAAGGCTTCCGGTCAATAGTAGGCTATTAGTAGTTAAGTTCTGGGGGCAGTCAAGGGTTATATGCAAATTTTCAATTGTGCAGGGGGTTGGCGGCCTGAACCCCCCGCGTTGTCCAAGGGTCAGCTGTATTGCATTTGGCCCTCTTGGAAAATCTCATGCATTATCTTGAGCAACTCTCAACATCAGCCCGTAGGGTATGTGTTATTATCCTAATTTCACAGATAAGGAAAGTGAGGCTTAAGGACTTACTTAGGGTCACACAAACCAGTAGAGATTCTATCCCACCTCTTTCTAATTCCAAACACTGCTCTCTTTCCCCAACACCACACTGCCTTCCGCCAGCAGTACTTGCTAAAAATGTACTTTCTTCCCATTTGCAGGATGACAAATTTGGTCATGTATCCCGCCTCCAGCTCTCCATGATTTCTCCAAGATTCCTGAAGGAGGGTCTGAGTTCACATCTGCAAATTCCCTGGTATCCTGGGAGGTCATTTGTCTGGGCCAAGAAGCTGGAGCTCCATCTGAGGCCACCAGGTGCTCCCTGACCATCCCCTCCCCTGTCTCATGGATGTACTCCCCCATCTGTGATGTGGGCCAGCCCCCCTGGGATGGCCCTTCTCCTGGCTGCCACAGGGAGCCTCAGCCCTCTCTGCTCCAGTCCCCACCATATGAAAATTATTAAGCCTTCCACATGCTCTTACTCATAGCTGTGATGCCCAGTAAATGAGAAAGGCCTCCTTTCAAATAAATAATGACCACTGTTGACAATGGAAGTATAAACATGACCTTAATACATGAATCGCTAATCATCGTCCCTGTTAATAGATACTCTGTCTTTGCTGCACACACATGTGGTTCAGGACTAATGCTCAGCATTAGCCTGGAGGGGCCAGCTAGCCCTCTGGGTCATCTACAATGCAAATCAAAGTAGGGGGCCTACATGCCCTCAGCCCCCCCCCTCCCCACCCCGTACTACAGGGTAGCTGAGTTAACTTCTTGGATAGCTCAGGAAATCTGGATTGTACTCACACCCTGGGAGAGCGCTTTCTCTGTTTAGTTCAGAATATTTGGGTCCTCAGGAGACCAACACAAACACTCACGCATGCGTACTCACCTGTGTGAGGCCCATTTGGATTTTTCAAGGGACCTCATCCAGTTGTGTGGAGAAATGAGAGAGGGGCAAGCCACTTGCGTAGAAGCAAGGCTCTGGGTGCCCCCTGGTTTCACACATCATGTGCTTTACATACAGATTATGCAGAATTTCCCCCTGTAATTTTTAAGTTTGGCTGCAAGTAACAGAGATCAAAATAACAATGCTTAAGGGAAATCAAATCTGATTTCTTTGCTGTAAAACAGTCCAGAGACAGGCCATCTGGGCTGCCTTGGTGGCTGTCTCCATGAAGCCCCCAGAGGCCCAGGCTCCTTCTAGCTGGTTGCTTTGCCCTGTGTGGCCTCCATTCCTAAGGACTTCATCCCCAAATGGCCATTCTGGTCATCCCCAAATTCCAGCCTTCTGGAAAAAAGAACGGATAGAGAAGGGGTAAGAGTACATAGCAGTCTCTTAAGATAAATTCCCAGAAGTTGCCACATGACTCTTCCGTCAACCGGAAGTTAATTATGTGTCATATTTTGCTGTGAGGGAAGCTGGGACACAAAGTCTTCAATCCAGGTGACCCACTGCAATGGGGAGGGGGAATCGATATGTTTGGACAAATAAGGACCTCATCCTATGGAATAGGTCTCTTTGATGGCCTGGTGGGAGGCTGCATGCCCCAGGACCCACAACCAATATTTATTTCTCTTACAGCCAGAAGCGATGTCAGGAATGGGCCAGCTCAGTCCTCTTCCTCCTGTTTCTCAGGTGTTGAAACGAGGCCGACGAAGGGGAAATGAGCCTCACAGGTGGCCAGGGGATGAAAATGCTGAGTGGCCCCTCGATCCCCACACTCTCATCCCCAGCCCCACCTACGCACTCAGGTGCTGTTGCATTCCGGTCCCTGGAAGCAGCCTGTTTGTGACAGAGAAGGGAGATCAGCAGAAGAGGGTAAAGTGGTGGTGAGGAATGGGAGAAGAAATCCCTGAGAACAGCTAGAGGCCAGACATCAGACTGGACATTTGACAGCCATTGTCTTACTTTAAAACTCCCACATCTCCCAGGGTGCCTGGGTGGCTCAGTCGGTGAAGCATCAGACTCTTGATCTCAGTTCAGGTCTTGATCTTTGGGTCATGAGTTCAAGCCCCACACTGAGCTCCACACTGGGCATGGAGCCTACTTAAAAAAAAAAAAAGAAAGTTAAAACTCCAACATCCCCATAGGGGGATAAGTGCTATTAATTTACAGATGGGGAAACTGAGCCTTGGAGAGGCTACAACCTTCGTCCAAGGTTTAAGTGTTAAATAGCATGAGGGGGTGAAGGGCGCACTTGCGTCTGTCTCATCTTTCTGCTGCACCTGGAGGCCCCTATGTCACCCCAAAGCTTTGCGCAGTGGCAGTATCGTAGCCAATGAGGTTTATCCGAGGTGCGATTATTGCTAATTGAAACCCTATGTCACCCCAAGGCCATCTTGGCTCCTGAGTCCGAGTGGCCCCTATGCTGCTCCTTCCTGGCATGCAGGAAGGAAGAGTGGTGTCTAGCGTCAGTCATGTGCCTTCTGGGCCCAGGGCTTCTCTCTAAGTCCCTCCTGTCCCACCCCACACGTAGCCATGCTGCCTACTGTCCTTGTTCCCAGCCAGGCAGGAGCGTGTTCAAATCCCAGCTCCCCCTCCATTCAGTCAACAGACATTTAATGAGCTCAGAAAGGTTCCAGGCACTTTGGACAAGCAATCCATTATTTATAAATTGGGCACAGCTACGTTGCAAGACTGTGGGGAAGAGGCCATGTCAGGTAAAAGGAACTCTCCCCTAGAAATGTTGGACCTTCTCCTCCTGCATCTGTCTAAGCCCATCTCTGCTGTTGGCCTTTGGGGCCTTGTTGCCCTCCCCTATCTCTGGTGTGGAGGGGTCTGCTGTACCCCAGAGACAGACCCGGGAATGCCCTCAAAAACCTGACTCTCCCCACTGCTCCCACACCCCTGCCACCACCCAGTTCCCTCCCTGCATCCCCAGTGCCCAGCACCAGTCATTCTGGAAGGAATCCATCCCGGGAAGCTTTGAGAAGCTCCCGGGCTAACAGAGGCTGCTTGGAGGTGTGGGTTGTCCAGAAGAGTCTGCTGATGGCCCGGTGACCCCCCTCAAGGGCCTGACTCCACATCGTTCTCCCTGGCTGCATGGGGAACCTGGTGAAAATGTGCCGTGTGGTGACAGCCTTAAGCCCCGATATCCTATGAAGGTCCCACCCAAGTGGGCTGTAACAGAAGCAGTCATGACCACTGCCCCAGGCTGGAGGGGTGGGGGCATGTGAGAAAAGGGCCTGCTGCCCACCAGGACCCTGCTGGGGCTTCTTGTGTGGGCTCAGGGACCGCCGGAGTATTGGGGTCTGTGGGCCCGGGTAGGTCACATATGTCCTGCTCCCTTTCTTGGCTTTGCCCACTCCTTTCCTTCTGCCTGGAGTGCTCCTTTTGACTGCTTTTGTCCAGATAAGTCCCACTTGTCCTCATGGCTTAGAACAAGTGTCTCTTCCTTCGGGGAGTCCCTCAAATGCTGCAAGATTGGGCAGCCTCCATGGGGTTCTCCCAGCTCCATCAAAGGATGCTTATCTGGGAGCAGCACCTTGGGAGCAGGGTCCAGGCCTGGTTAACCTCCGAGGCCTCTGGAAATGTCTGCCAAATGAGTGAATGGAGCTCTTGGGCCTGTAACAAAGTGAACCCTTAGCAAATGTTGGCTGGAAGGATGCACGATTGATTTTATGAATGAATAAAGTTTCCAGGAAATGGGAGTGGGAAACATGGGGACGAGATAAAGACATAAACCTCACCTTTGTTCCAGTTACCCAGGACCATTCCATGGCCCATGGCAAATGGTAATAGCAATGGATGCTTATATTTTGCTATGTACCAGCACCTCTGTAAGCACTTTGTATATAACCCATTTAATCCTCACAGCACCACTGTGAGAAAGGTACTTGTCTTAGTCTGCATGGTTTGGTGTAACAAACCATAGACTAGGTGGCTCAAACAACGCAGATTTGTTTTCTCCATGATCAGGGTGCCCAGCATTGCCAGGTTCTGATGAGAACTCTCCTGGCTTGCAGACTGCCACCATCTTGCTGGGTGCCGCCTGACCTCTTCTTTGTACACAGCAGGAGAGGGAGAGCAAGCTTTCCGGTGTCTCTTCTTAGAAGGGCACTAATCCCATCATGAGGCCCCACCCTCATGACTTCATCTGAACCTAATTACCTCCCCAAATGCCTCACCTCCACATACGATCACACTGGGGGTTAGGGCTTCAACATATGAATTTTGAGGGGACATAATTCAGTCCACAGCAGCACAGCGTACCTGTCAGTTTGGGCTGGGTTATGTCATGGCAACAAACAATCGCAACATCTCAGTAGCTTAGAACAACAAAGGTTTATTTCTTGCATATGCTGCATGTCCAACTCAGGTCGGCGGGAGCGTCCGCTTTTCATGGTCACCATGAGAGTGGTGGTGGTTCAGAGAATGTGGCAAATCACTTACATTTTTTATTGGCTAAAGAAAGTCACAAAGCTACAGCTAAATTCAAAGTCGGTAGGGAAAAAAAACCCGAAGTAGGTAGGGAAACAAAATCACTTTTGTGAATATTCCAATTATGTTAAAAGAATATACTGTCTAAAAAAAAAATAGATAAAGTGTATGATCCTGTCACGTGTCCCAAAGAAGGACTAGACTATTTGTGAACAGCCCAAATGACCCAAATCATCTTATCCCCATTTTATGGATAGACAAACTGAGGCAAAGAGAAGTTAAGAAAATGTGCCCAAGGTCACTCAGCTAGTAAGTGGCAGAGCCAGGATTTGCACCCAGGAAGCCCAGTGGCGGAGTTTGCGACCCTAACTGCTACTCCGTAGTGATCCTGGCAAGGCAGTCCTCCGGCCCTGTCTCCTGCTGTCCCTGGGAGCCCCCGGAGAATGGCATTCTCTTGCCCAGAGTAACACAGACAGCGTGTGAGTGATTGTGTTCGATTGAACTAGATAACACAAGGCACTGACTTCACAGTTGTGCTGCAAGCAAATATATACACGGATATATACACACCGATAGTCACTGATATATACAGCACTTCCACATCTGGAGTTTTCCCAGATGGTCTCAAATTCAAATGCAGCCCCATCTGTTCCTACCAGTGTCCCCACAGTCTTCAGAGCCTGTGTCTCACTCCTTGCCACCGAACACTCCATGACTCTGCTCCAGGGTCCCCGAGATGCCTTACCGTGGCCTTGTCCCCATCTGTACCACGAACGAACCTCCTGGCGAATCCAAAAGAACATCACTGCTGCCCTCCACATTCTGCTGGGCTTCTAGGTGACTTCTTCTTTTGGACAGGTACCTAGTGGGCAAGGCCAACCCGGCCACTTCGTCCTGGCATCTCCAGGGGCCCAAGTGGATTCTTGGTGGAGTGAATTTAATTAAAGTCCTGCGTGGCATGTGAGTGAAGAGGACCAAATGGAGAAGAGCTCCTGGTCAAGAGCCCCTTTCATCCCGGGTTAAAGCTCCACAGAGTCTGTGTAGGACGTGGGTGGGGCTTGCTGCCATTGCTCTGTGCATCCGTGCCTGGCCACCCTGGGAGCCCAGAGTGAAATGGATGGACAGACGGATGATGGACAGATGGATGGACAGCGGAGGTGTAATCCCTAAGCAGCTACATACCAAGTCTTGTCAGGACCAGGAGCCCCTCTGATCCTCAGATGAGTAAAAGCTTGTGTGAATGAATGAATGAATGAATGGGTAAGGCCAGAGGCCGGCCCAATTCCCCAGGTGACATCACAGAGTGCCCCAAGGCCCTCAGGTTCTTGCCCCGACCCCCGTCACAGCCCCACCAAGGGCGTGAGTCCCCTGACTGAAGGGAATCGGCTGTGCCTGGCATCGCGTACCAGGCCCCGCACGCAAGGTGCGGGAGAAGGCCGAGAGCGCCTTTTGGACAGCTTAGCTCTTGGCGAGATTAAGCCGGCTCTCCACAGAGGGGCCCGTATTGCAGGCCTGCGGGGAGGGCCCGGCCCGCCGAGTTTGCACCTTTTTACCCGGCATCTGTCCCTGGGATCAGGAGAGCTGGGAGGCTGGATTAGATGGGTCAGCGCCCTGATTGACAGTGACATTTCCTCCCGCGCCCCCGCCTGCCCCCCAGCCTCTCCCGCTGTTCCTCTCCTGCCTCACTCGGGCCCCATCCTGTTCCCGAAAGCGGGCGATGCCTTCTAATCTCCTTACCAGGAAATTATTTTCCTGGGTGTGAAATCCCTGTCCAAGGGGAGGGCAGCAGATCAGTCCTGCCCTGGCCTGGAGGCTGACCGCAGGCCTATCTCCCGGAGACATCTGGCATGGCAGTGGGGGCGGCCACAGCGAGAGATGGGCAAAGCTTGGGCAATTCCACCCCCAAATGTGGCCCTGACCTCCGGAGCGGGCTCCCCCAAACTGCCTCTTCCTGTCTCCATTCACGAGACTTCTCGAAAATGATGCTTGTCTGCGGTTGGTGACTGTCCTCTCTAGGAGCAAGTGACATGGGGGTTGGGGAGAGTGGTCCTGGGAAGAACCTGCCCCAAGGGGGGCGCGGGCAGTGAGGCCTGGGACCCAGCCCTGGCCGTGGGCCAACTCACTCTGTGACTGGACACATCCCCACCTCTGTGGCCTCAGTTTCCCTCTGACTTCACCATGAACGGACTCTGAGATCAAACGTGGGGTCTATGCCCCACACCCCCCATATCCAGTGCATAAAATGTCAGAAACTCGGCAGAGGAAGTGGTGGGAAAACCACAGGGCCAGCCTGTTTAATTCATAATGTTAAAAACCTGTGGCCAGACCACGAGATGAACAGATGAGGGTGGCGGTTAGGTTGGCCCAACTACCCCACTTGGCTCCGTGACTTTGGCCATTGACCACTCCCCTGTGCCTCAGTTTCCCCAACTGTAAAAAGAAGATGACAATCACACTTACCCATAGGCTTGTGGCGAGGGTTTCAGTTGATTAATAATCATAAAATTCTTAGAATGGTCCCCGGCACAAGTAAGTACCTTATAAGGATGATGGTATTGCTGTTATTAGACTTGTCATATGGAAGGGCTCAACATATTATTTACTGTGGGTGGAGTTGTGTCCTCTGTAATGGTATGCTGAAGACTTAACCTCTGTGAATATGACCTGTTTGGGGAAACAGGGTCTTTGCTGATGTAGTCAAGTAAAAACGACTAGAGTGAGGTGGGCCCCAAGCCAATAAGAAAGGTATTTGAGGGGCGCCTAGGTGACACAGTCGGCTAAGCATCCAACTCTTGGCTTTGGCTCAGGTCATGATCTCATGGCAAGATTGAGCCCCGCGTCAGGCTCTGTGCTCAGCGTGGAGTCTGCTTGAGATTCTCTCCCTCCCTCTCATTCTGCCCCTCCCCACTGTACTCGCTCACTCTCTAATAAATAAATACATCTTTAAGAAAATAAAGACTGGTGTATGAAAAGGGGACAGACACAAAGAGACGGGCACACCAGGAGAAGACCATG